AGCTTCAGCTGTTTTGATTTGACAAATGCCTATTCATCCAATATTATTGTGGTTTTCATAGTACTCTTATCACTGTGGTAGATTGTTCACATCAGTCTACACAAGCCTATGTGTATAGAGATACAGAATTAATGGACATATCAATTTATGGTGAAAGTAAGGCAAAATGCATTAGCAGCTCATCGTATGCAGAACGTTTTACCACCGGACAAATGCTAAATGTTAGAACATTTCGATTTGGTAAATTTCTTTATCCACAATCGCCTCATAATCGGACTTTTATCCACACGTAAATATGATTGTGATGTGATTATGGATAAAATGTTGTATTGCATTTTTATCATAAATAACTAACGAGCGTTCAAATAAAAACGTGGTCAAGTTGGTTCTGAAAATTTGGACGTAGGGCGTAGCGTATAGCAAATGAACTTAAACGTCATCTGTCAAAGCGCTATATCGCCGCTATCAATTTGAATATTTTCGTTTTAAAAAGCGTTTAAAATGGTGTTTTCTCAAGAACAAAAAGTGTTTATCATAGAGTCCTACTTTAGAAATGGACGCAAGATTGATGGAATATGGAAGTATTCTATTGAGGAATGTTTCATAGAATTTCAAAATCAATTTCCCGGCGTTGTTGAGTACAAAATTTTTCAAAGTGCAGTTCAGCGTTGTGTTAATGTTTTTCGTGAAACGGGCAGTGTAACAAGAAAAGAAGGAAGCGGCCGACCTAAAAAGCGGACTGAAGAATTAAAAGAAAATGTCCAACAAATAATGGAAAATGCGCCAAGAACTTCTGTACGTGTTTTATCACAAATGGTGGGAGTATCAGTCGGTACCTGCCACACAGTGTTAAAAAAAGATTTGCGTTTGTTCTNATTATTAGTCATCAACCATTTCTTGATGATATCACTGGTATCTGCATGGAAAACCTTATCGTTTTATTAACGACAGCCCTTCCTGTAGCTCTGAAGGGTACTATAAATATGCAATGAGATGGATATCTACATCTCGTAAGTAATTTCCCAAAGACCTTTCATAATTTTGCCGTTCCTAATTAAATTATCAGTAAATTCGCTACTTAAATAGTCATTACTCTTTAATAACGTCTTTAATCTGATTTCGGCTTTTAATCCAAAGCTCACAGAAGAAACAGTTTCGTTAAGGTGGTTAGCGTTAACTTGAATTTGCTTAAAAAAATGTTTAAGCGCCCATTTACTCTTAATATCCGTTATTTTAACGCCAAATTGGAAATATAAATAATAAAAATGTAAAACAGAATAACGTGAAATCGTTTTTCGCAATATAATTTTCACTTTATGTGGGAAGAAAAATGTTTATGCACAATCACCTTACAATTGGACTTTTATCCACACATATGAACTGTCTAAAGTGATACTTTATCCACTAGTGGAATAAAGTAACTTTATTTCACTAGTAGAATAATGAAAAAATGAATTCTGACCCCACAAATATAATTGTGATGTTATTATGGATAAAACGTTATATTGCATTCGTGTTTTAATTGCCTTTTATCCACTTAAGAATATTAAACATTCTTGCGTGAATAAAATGCTACTTAAAATACTTATACAATAAGTAACTATTATTACAAGGGAATTTACGAATTATTGTTCGAAACGACTAGCAAGATAACACCTTTTGGAAGATGCTTCCTTAATCCTTCTGCCTCTTTCTTCGTAACGATATTAACTTTTATTTCGAAACAAAATAGATAGTCTCTTTCGTCCAATAATTTGACTGCGTAACTTTTTGTTAAAGCTTATGACTTTTTATCAATAGTCGGTCAGCATTAAGCAAAACTTTAACAATTTTTAATCATTTCAGCTTTTGTTATGTAGCGACTTAAATCCAAATACTAGTTACTAATGTTACTTAAGTCTTCATAGATAAGTAGTAACATTATTATCATTGGGTACTCACAGATATCTTGATCTTGCTCTTAATGGCGACCAACTCCTTCCTCAGCGTTTCCGTAAGGGCAGTAACGGCGTATTTGGAAGCCGGATAGACATTCAGGAAGGGCAAAGATGACACTTGGTGACCTGAGACACTGTTGATGTTGACTATGTGTCCGTCGATGAGGTGTTCTTGCATGACCTTGATAGCTTCACGTGAAGCTACGGCCAGTCCTAAGATGTTGGTGTCTAGGACCTTTTTCCAATCCTCGATGTTACCTATAATTTATTTACGGATATATCTAAATAGTGTTACAGATGTCAGCTTTTCTACTAGAAAATGAACGATGATGAATAAGCCGTAATTGAAGCGAATAAGAAAAGTTCGTCAACTTTTTGGTCGAAATGACAAATCAAAATCACCAAACAAAGTTGCTATTTGTTGTTGACTCAAAACTAGCTAGAGATTATACAAAGGATGAAGCAATAGAGCAAAACTACACGAAATATCGCCCTTACCGTCAATTATTGTTGTTTTTCTGTTGATTCCGGCGTTGTTGATCAGAATGTTCACAGGTCCGACGTTTTCTTTGATCCACTTGAAGGCTTCCTGGATTTCTTCTTGTTTGGTCATGTCGACCTTGTAGGCGTACAATTTTCCGGGTTTTCCTTCTAAAGTTGCTGCCAATTCTTCAATCCTGTGTTTTCTTCTAGCCAATCCGACTACCTGGAAAATTTTGAAGTGTTTATATTTTGTCTCGAATTTGATGCGTTGCCTCAGAATTATGATTATAAAAAAAATTGAAAAGGTTTAGGGTGATTTCAGATACATTGTAATTAAGTACATATACCAATACGCGCCTAAAGTATGGAATAAATTCAGTAAAATCGAAACAAATTTTTTAGGGAAAAATCCTCGAAGAGGTTGATTTTTAATTTAAAAAATACTTAGTTTAGCATAAACTCGAAAAACTAAACTCGAATTTACTCGAAAACTTTCCTATGTAAGATGGCAACATCTTAATACTGTCGGATCGACAATGAAACGATCTTTCAGAATCAAGAAAAAAAATAGGGGGTTGCTATTTAAAAAAAATGTCGATGACGTCATTACTCGAAAACAAATGACGGTTGAAAATCGCCTTTTATGATAAAATATGTATTTTTTAAATTAAAAATCGACCTGTTCGAGGATTTATCCCAAAAAAATTGTTTCGTTTTTACTGAATTTATTCCATACTTTTAATTAAAAATTTTATTTATGTGAGGTTCTTTGATTTCATAGAAAGAGTGTAAGTAAATAGTTTTAGAGACGTATGTGCTGTGGTTTACTTAGATCGTCATAATATCGTTATCTTGTTATTCATAAGACAAAATTGTAATCTTATGCAAATAGTAGGTAATTCAAGACATATGACAATGTTACAAACTGTGAATAGGGAACAAACTTATTTCATAAATTTTTATGATGTTAGATAATATTTTTGCCACAACTCAAGCTTCTTGTGAGTTATAATTCACGAAAGTGACGATTCGGACTAGAAAATGGGACACTCATCCATAATTCCTGAGAAGTCCATAAAGAGATATATGAGAACAACTTCAAACTATCTGCAGCGTGGTGTAGAAAGAAAAAAATTTGAAAATATAACAGAGAAGGTAATGCTAGCCTAATTTACTTCAAGAAATGAAACCCTAAAGACTTCAGGAAGCTTATGGGCTTATGTTCGCCACAATATTTCTTGAAAATCAATTTTCGAACAAGACTTTACATGGAAATTCTCGAGGAAATTCTACAGTGGTAGAAAGTGATTCGCAGTCCAGTGTTATTATAATTATAACATCAGAAGAGAACGTTGTTTTAAACCCGAATTCTATTGCTCCAATAAATTTTAAAAATTATTCAAATTGTAGTTTTAATTTTGCCTTTAATTGATTTTTAAAATTCTACATTTATTAGATTACTTACCGATCGCTAGTTTGTAAACTTCACTTACAAATTCAGTAAAGATGTCAAATTACCTGAGCATGCAAAAATTATTATTATTAATATACTTACATTATTAATAAAATCAGACTGTCAAACCAATTTTTAATACGACTATATGCCTA